TTTTATTATTTTCTCAAATTCACTGGAAAGTTTATAAATGTTTTTCTTGAGTTTTTTTTTTTAAAGTGTTATTAGTAAAGTAAAAATAATAATTTATTATTATTATTATCCTAAAGTAAATTAATCAATAATATAACTAATAATGACATAACATCTAAGATGTGGTATTTTTTAAAATGTTACATTGAAATTTATATATTATTAATTTTAATGATTTCAATTCTTAAAAACAGTAACTGTCTAGCTCAACCACCGGTTATATAATATGCAATTTTTACGCAAGAACATATTTCCATATAAAAAAATGTTTAACAATGTAAGCATGAATGGTGTCGTAAGAAAACCATAGTTATGGATTTGAAAAGTCAACAAATTAGATAATGGAAAGAAAATTATACTTTAAATGTTAGTGTCACCTCTTCAGTTTTCTTAAGGATGATGACATTTAATTAAAACTTCAAAGATGGATTGATTTTATATAAAAATGGAAAAACTAGTTGGTCAAGCTTCCTTGCAAATTAAGATTCATTAGAGATATGGAATGACGAAATGACGAGTTAGCATGTTAACCTATTAATTTTTTTTATGTAAAAAATATATACTTTTTAAAAAACATATAATTATAATAAATATTTTTAAAATTTTTACTCATTATAATATAGTTTATCAGATAAATTAAAAAAAAAATTACACTTGCTTGTTAAAATAATTAATTAAAATTAAAGATTTAAATATAATTTTATTTATTTATAATTTAAATTATAATATTAAAACATATTTATATATTTTTAATATGTAATATAATAATTGTAATATTTTAAATTATAATTTTTTATTTTCATTTTAATATGTAAATATTTGTTATAAAACAAGACAATAGGTTAGTGTGCCCATCAAGTTTGTGGATTAGAGGGAGATTAAATCTTAAGATATTAGATTATGTGTCTTTTATCTTTATATATATTACTTAATTTTTTCATTCTTATTCAATATTAGACTAAAATTACACTTAAATTTTTTAACAATTTCTCCTTTAAGTGTGAGTCTCATTACATTGGTGCATTCCTCCCTTCGAGCTTATTAGTAACTCTTATTTGTATCATTGTTTATTCTTACTTAATATGAGACTTAGACTCATACTTAAATTTCTCAATCTCTCTCTCAAGTGTGAGTCCTGTAACATTGGTATATCTCTTTGAGCTCACTAATGACTCTTAATTGTACTATCGTTCATCATAATAAACACAGAAAAATTCATCGAAAAAAGATAACACCAATATAACATGAATCCAACCCACATAAAATATTAATACCACTTCTAATCCAAAACTTTACCACAAGTTATGACTTTCGTCCTTATATGTTGTTCAATTTTCTCGTTCTTACTCAATGTGAGACTTATATTCACACTTAGATTTTTCAATAAGATGAACTTAAATGATGGTATGAGATAAAACTACTAACTCAATCTACCAATTTGAGGATTGGTAAGTGTCGGATCGAACCTGATTTATCATCCCTAATTTCATGGTTTGAGGGTGTTAAGTTGTTTAATTCTATAATGTATGGTAGTAGCAAATGAAGTGATTAATAAAGCAAAAAGATAGTGAAACAATGTTTAATGTTCAAGATAGATTATGAAAAAACATATGATTCAATATAATGAGAGTTTTTATTATACATGTTGAGGATATTGGATTTCAAAGAAAAATAGGCATGTTGGATAAAAGAATGTTTAAGTTCATGCAATATTTTCATGTTGGTAAATGGTATTAGTGAATTTAGAAGATAAAGAGGTTTGAGATAAGTTGACCCATTAGTATTTTTTCTTTATATATTGTTAAGAACTCAAGTGTGAGTTTGAAGTCTCACATTGAATAGAAATGAGAAAGTTGAGTAACTTCTAAGTGAGAAAAACCCATAGTTTAATGTTTTAAGATTTTGGATTAAAGGTAATATCATATTTTCTAGTACGATTGACTCGTGTCCCATTTATAAGAATCTAAATATTGTTAACCTCCTTGAAAATATTCAAATGGTGACCTAGGGTTCATGTGATTTAATGAGGGACATAAAAAAAATGTATAAAGAATTAATGGTGAGAAGAAGAACTTGAATGTAAATTTGTTTCAATATGCAAATGATATTATTTTCATGGGTAAAGAAACCTTAACTAACATGATATTGATTAAGAGTATATTAAGGTTCCATAAATTTTTTTAAAAGTATATTTAAGTATCTTATAGGGTTAACAAAAGAAAAAAAAAAGTTACATAGAGACTAATAAATGAAAAACTTGAAAATAAGCTTTGTTGTTGAAAGAAAAAAATGTTGTTTTTTATTGGAAGAGTATGCTTGATTAATTATATATTGACATCTTTATTAATTTCTTTTCTATTTTTTAATAAGATGTGAACTAATATAACTAAGAAATTATAAAGCATTCAAAAAGCAATTTTCTACGAGGCAAAAAAAAATAAAAATAACAAAGAAGTGTGATTTTAACAATATTCTTTTGTTGAAATGAAGATGATATTTATAAAAAGTTAGTTATTTTTTACAATTTTCTTTTAAAAAATTATTTAAATTTGTAGAAAATTTATTTTTTATCATTTCTATAAAATGATTGTAAAAATATTCTCATAAAATAGGATAATTTCTGGGAATGTGAAATATATTTCAACAAAAAGAAATGGTTTAAAATGAGATAATAAATGTTAGGTACAGGGAATGGAGACGGAAGAAAAGAGGAGTGACAAATCTAAATGGTGGAAAGATCTAAAGAAAATATTTTGGTGAGCAGAATGCATGAACATGTTTTGATAATAATTATAAATGAAAAATAAGTGATGGGAGTTTCATAAAATACAATACATCAAAACAAAAACAAATGAAGTTGTCAAGTATATAAGATTGAAGGAGCATGGTTATGAGAATTAAAATGGAGAAGTTGGTTTCAATGGGAAATCAATACTTTTAATTCTTTCATTGACAAAATAAGTAGAATATACAAAGAAGATAAATAATGGTGGAAGTTGAAATATAATGGCATTTATAGGTTAAGTATGCCTATGTAGCCTTAAATAATGTTAAGTTTGAAACAACATATAATATGCTTTGAACTACTTCATTGGGTATGAAAGTGTCTTTGAAGCCTCTTCATTCTATATAAAGATTTTCCAAAGACAAATTATCAACAATTTATCAAAAGACATCATAAGTTGTATATTACACAATTTTTTTTTTTTTAAATGGTTTATTAGATTTGATATGTTAGTATGTGTGGATTAATGTCATGATATGTTTACTAGAAAGCGCAGTTCGGAACTCTTGGTAACATCCACGCCAATTGCATAATAAAGAGGATATTCACACACAGGTGGTATATACCATGGATTAATGAGATAAAAAAAAAAATTGATGATAACTTAACTTATATTTTAAAACGAATATAATTTTTTTTTAACCCTGAATCAATTTTATTTTGGCAAAAAAAAAATGATAATATCAAAATAATTAATTAATTTTTTTAACAAAAATATAATATATATATATATATTTAAAATTTAAATTATATTAATAAAATTAATTTTATTTTAAATATAATAATTTAATATATAAATTATAAAATTTTTGTATTTAAGATAAAAATTAAAAAAAAATTCATTGTAACTATTTATTCTTTTAATAATATCATAATATAAATTAGTAATTTATTTAAATCATAAAATAAATAGATATTAAAATTTTATTATTATTTATTATTTGATTAAATAAATATTTTATTAAATTATAATATATATTTTTATAAAAAATATAATTTTTATTTTTATTTAAAAATAATTTTTATTTATCAAATATATCATATCAAAATATGATTAAGTAATTAATTTTTTAATTCAAGTTCACTTTTTTAATTCAAGTTCACTTTTCTTTTAATCTTTTAAATTGATTTATCATATTAAACTTATTTTATTAACTAGTGTTTTAATACCACTGGTTATACGTGATATGCGGTTATTCATCTTTCAAAACTGATGAAGATGTCTATTTTAATAAATATCTATTTTGACAAATTTATATTTATCATGCAACCGTAAAAAGATGTGTAAAAAGACTACACAACTTAAATTTATAATACCCATACTTTAAAAGAAAAAAGTTAAATTGTCAATTAAAGTATACTAAATAAAATTGATATCTCGCGCCTCTGTTTATGGTTTTCTTTATGGAAAAACAATCTTAATTCAATCGAATAAGACGGTAAAATTGTTTCCTCAAATAGCCTATTACGTATTTAAGATTAAAATTTATGATAATAACGAATCAAAATTTGACGCAGTTTAAGATCGAGTATTCATTCGGAGTGAAGTATAAAAACAGAGGAGAAGGATGATTTGTAGGGGTTGCGTCACAACAATTAAAAATTCTATTTTTTTAATATATTTTTAACCGTTTTTATTTTTACTCTTCAGTTGATTGAAATACAGTTCTTTATTTATTGTTGTGACTGCACGTTTTTTTTTTTACGTCAGTTATTTACATCATTTCCTTACAACCTCTTACTCGCGGTTGTAAATAACTGAAACCAACCACCCAACTCTAAAATCGCTAGACAGTTGTCTTCATACTCGTCAAGTACTAATAATAAATGGCCTACTCAACACGTATTCGATTCATAAAGTCTCTTCTTCCTCCTGTAATGTAACCTAAATGGTCTCTTGTTAGGACTACGAAGAGGAGAGTTAAATCAAAATTCCATTTAAGGACTCTTCAGATGATAAGTGAATGACTTTTTCTACGTACATCACTATCTTATAATCAGTATTTGATTTGTTACGTAAAAGAAGAAGAAGAAGAAGACTAACATTGATTTGTTATGTAAAAGAAGAAGAACAGTAACAAGAAGTGTAAGGGGAAACTAAGGTTCAAGACGTTATACACCAAAAGAAAATAAAATTACATGATAAACATGAACAAGCAAGCCTCCTTGTCCTGGATCATTCCTTCTCTTTGTGGGAAGAGTAATACAACTTGAAAACTCTAGGAAGATAAACAGGCAACAGAAATCCAAACAAATTGAAACACCAGAAGGCCATATTAGCTACAGCAAGCACTCTCCCAACATAGATCCTCCTTGCAGACCCACTGTGCTCTTCATTAACCTTGTTGATCTCACTCCTGAGCCAATCCACAATGGTGAAAATCCTCCTTGAATTGTAAAAGATAGGCACAAAGGCTCTAATTGGAATTGAGAACCTGCCAGAGAATGCCACCCCTTCCATGAAAACTTGGCTGGCCAAGAGGAAAACATGGGGTGCAGCTGCCTTGATCCCTTCCTTATCACCCTCAAATATTCCATCTAAGATATAAGCAATTGGGCCAAAAAGTCCAATAATGGCCGCTATAAACACATAAAGGGCAAACATTTTGTTTTGTGGGTTGAAAACTGGGGGTTCTGAAGAGTGAAGAGATGGGAAAGCCACCTTTGATATGAAAAACATGTAAACTATGGAGAAGGCCACAAAAGCAAAGTCTTCAGGGCCAATCATGCCACTTGCAGACAGGACAATGACCACAGCCAAGCAATTGAGGTGGCGGAAAGATGGGAAACCTGATTTGCGTGGCGTGGTGATGGTTTTGTGGAGTGAATGGTTTTGATGTTCTTTATGGTCAATTTGTTCTTCTCTTGGCAAGCTAATGTCAGAGCCAGTTGGACCAACACCACCGGACATTTTGTTGGTGAAGCTACACAGAAAACGTGTGAAAGGAACGGAGAAAGAACTAGTTTTTTTAGGTCAATTTGATTTTTCTTTCAGCAAAATGAAAATGGTGTAATCTTTTTACCATATGTAAATGAATCAAAGAGGGTGGGAAGTGTCGGAATGAATTTGAGAGGAGATAAGAAGGAAGGGAAGATAAGGATGCATGGTTATGCGGTGAGAAATGGGAGGTTTATGTGATGATAATGATAAGGTTGAATTGTACGTGGCACGGTTATGTTTATAGTTATGACGCGTGTACTTAATTAATTGTAGATGTGGCACTCTAAGGAATAAGGATGTGATATCAAGTGATTGAGAGTATCTGCACTTCCTGAGGATCAACAGTTAAGATTCTATCTAACTTTGCCGCGACAAAGGGTCCCCTAAGTTCAATTTTGTCTGCCTGTATGTTGCATACATAGGAAAATGAAAGAACATTTTTTTAAAGTAATAAATGTTGGCATATCATACAACACAGATCATTTAATTAAACATATCACAAGAGGACTTTAATACATAGATGAAAATTCAGAATTTGAATTTGAATACATAAATGCAAAATTCAGAATTTTAATAGTAGCTTAATTTTAATAATAATTATTACCTTCTGTTAAGTAATGGGAAATACAATTATCTTATTTAAATATAAAAGATATGAGCTAATTTTATCTTATTTAATCAGATTGTATTTTAAGATATTTTTATTTAATTAGAACTTTTTTAATTATTCAATTTAGTTTTAATATAAAATTTTAATAAATATATTGTTAAAAATGTAGTTTTATTTTTTAAATACATTACTTTTATGAAAAAATTGTTAATAAATTGATTAAACTGAATAAAGAAATTAGATAAATTAAATATTTTATTTATTTTTTAATAGATAAAATGGGTTAATAGATATTATTTATATATGATTTATTATAATTCAAGGTAAAGTTTATTTAATTCATTTAATTTAATGTTCCTATAATTTAGTTTTTGTATATATAAACTAAATAATGACATATAAAATAAATAATAAATAATAATTCTGATAAATAAAAAAAATTATTTCTTTAAATTCCGAGATTAATTAATAGTTTATTTTGCTTCATCATTAAGTATAATTTTTATTTGCTAAAACTATTTAATGTTATAAATATTTTTTAAAATAAAAACTAAATTTATAATTTTTATGTATTCTTTAAATTAAAATAGCTACTTTTATTATTATTTTTAAATATATCACCAAAATGAATGGCCAATTAAAAGTTATATATCAAATTTTAATGAATTAAACTACATAAATGAATTATTTAAAAAGAAAATTGAATTGAATTACTTTTAAGTTTTATTTTTCAAAACACTATTTATTTAAACGAAATTAAACTCATATTTATGAAATTAAAAGATATATTCCTATTTTTAGTTTAAAATTTCCAAAAAGAAAAGTCAAATTATATAACAAGTTAATTTTGTCAAATCCCTTCTATCTATAAAATGTATATTATTATTATTATTATTATTATTATTATTATTATTATTATTAGTATTAGTATTAGTATTATTATTTCAACATATAAGCATGTCAAATTGAATGCCATTCATAATAATAATCGGATCAATTTATTAGACAATTTTCGGTAAAAATGACACAGAAAAAATAAACTTAATACACAATCCCTAATATACTTTCATTTTAAGAAAAAAAGAAGACGGAATATAAAAAGACCTTCCAGTAAAACCTACCTCAAATTTTCTGACAGAAGACCATCGATAAAACTGGAACCTCTGCTAATAATTCAAAATCTATGCATATCTGTCATAATTAAATAATTAATCTCTTTTTCTTCTTATCAAGAAGGAGCTCTCTGTTTGGGAATGTACTTTATCTTCGTTCCTTTCTCAGACTTTGTTTTGGACTTAGGTTTTGCTATTCCAGACGATGCAGGCAATTGGTTTTCTGGACTTGCAACAATGTCAAATCTGTCCGAGTTCGCATATTGATTTGCTTCTAATTCAGGCTCTTGTTCCAGCTGTCTTTCGCGAGACTCTAAATGAGGTGTGACGACCAATTTTACATGATTTGAGGAGATAGCTTCTTTCCATCCTGTATCATAATTTTTAATAAATTAAAATAAATTAAAATCAAACCAAATATATAAATTTATTAGAATATTAATGTTAGAAGAACTTTTCAAAATTTCTTGAATGGAATATTATAATAAAATGGTAAAATTTACTTTGTGCAAGAAAGGATTTTGCAGCATGGCTGGATAGTCGTAAGCTGTCTGAATCTACTTTTGCCACGTCATGGGAAAATTTGTCCCCAAAATCAATATCATTGTCTTCTACACTACACAACCTTAAACTATTTTGAACTGATAATTTCTCGTCAAATTTCCCACTAATAAGATCAGCTTCAGTCCCACCATTTTGGATTTGGAGTGGAAAGGGATCTTTAGTTCCATGCTGGCTAACAGGCCTAGGCCTCCAAAGCTTAACTGTTAACCGACTGATGCTTCCCTGGGACGAATCGTGTTTCACTGGTTTTTCCTGAGCAGTATTCTGCTTGGCTACATCCTCTGCCAAGCAGTCCCGCTGGGGTGCCACAAAATTACCTCCGGAATGACAGCAGCAATTGCCCAGACTAACTGATACAGATCCTATCAAAACTTCTTGATTCCTATCTTTGTCTGGTTCTTTCTGCAGTTTGGCTTTTAGAACCAAAGCATTAGTTTCTGCTTTAGGTTTTCGACTCCAAACTTTATTACTATTATTAACTATGGGAGCTACCCTAAGATCATGGCTGATTCTATGCTTTGGAATCACTCCAAGTTTTGACAGTGGAGAATTCTGGCCTGCATTCAAACCATTGGTTCTAGCCCATTGTGATTTTGGTAGCCCTTGCCATCTGGCAGGCATCGTGCCCCGGCGATTTTGTCCTCGTAATGTCTGTCTCTCTATATACTGATCAGTGTCACAATCATACCCTGACAGTGTATCCCCTTCTATAACTTCATTGTTGTCAAGGTAATAAGAAGTTACAGGAGGAGAATGATCCGCAAATATATCAGGATTATGTGCATCAAAATCACATGCTTCTGCTGGTGATACGTCTTCCCCTGCGCTGCTTATGTTTCCTTTAATTTCTGTGTCATCTTCGAGTTGTTCCCTTGCCTTGTGTTCTTTCTGTCTAAGCTTTTTCTGGCGTTTCTTCTCTAAAATATCAGCTTTTCTGTAAATAAAGAGAAAACTTAAACAATATCTAGTACTCATTATTGGCTTTGCTATATAAACAACTTAATGAGCAAGACATTAACTATCCAAATAATTAAATGATGTAACTTTCATTTATGATAGGACATTAGAAGTTTTAAGTCAGACGAAAGCAAAGAAAGAAAAATAAGTAAATACATAAACATATATCCATTTGAAGTATATTCTATAAAGCCAGAGAACTTATGTTGTGAGATAATAGAATATGATCCCTCGTTATTAATTGGGAATTGTTTGTCTCATGATAGATCTGGTAGTGTTTTTTCAAATGCATTTATTGAATGATTATATAAATTCTTTACTTTCAGTTATTGAGAAAATAAAAAAGATTTATGCGGTCCACCTTAAATCCTAACTTTCATACAATAGAGGTTATGCCTTATAAAAAAGGACAACAAAAATTTCTAACAGAGGCATATAAATGGAGACTATGTTTTCATATGAAAATCAAGACGTATTACCAAGAAAGACATGATATCAATAAAGGCACTAGAACAAGGGATTGAATGGGAAAAGATACCTTTTCTGAGCAGCTTCCTCTTCCTCCACCAGCAGTTTTTGGCATCTCAATGCTTCAGCATCCTTGTCAGCAAGCCAGGCATTCACCTATGTGAAATGAAATTCATATTTCATCATTAATGTAACCGAGACTTAAAATGATCATATTTCACCAATACGGTAACTAATACCTAATAACGAGAAGTTATAATAAAATCAGGTCTGATATAAGCGTATCTACATGCTGGATATGACATGAATTTTGGTTTCACTAGCAAAAGCATCATAAATAACGCAATGTGCTGGATTCACTAGTCAAATTTTAAGGTAATAAAGATTAAAACTTCATAGATTTTTCGGTATCACTAGATGACAAAAAATTGCTTCGCTGTTTTAACTCTTCAGTCTCCTCTTCATGTAATTGTGAAGAAAATGGATTGTGTGTAAACCTCTTTAACTTTATATACATGTTGACGTATGCAAATCGTCAACAAGGATAGAAGCATGCACTGTTGTGTAATTCAGAACTATTTTTTAGATCCTTTCCATCACTACAATCTGGATCGTGTGGAACAACCTTTCCTCTTGGGAAAAAGCCAAATAGAAAAGTAATCATGAGAATTGATTTTAATAAAATGAAAATCTGATTGAATGACTGCTGTTTTGTTCATACTTAAGAATGCAATTGAACAAACTAACACTCCTAAAACCTTGGTCTATTTGGCAAAGAAGGCTCTTTCATGGCTGTATATCACTAACACCATACAACAATATGCCATTGAATGAATCAAACAACAAACAAGCCTAGACACCCACAAAATCACATCAGTGCCAACTCCTATTCTTTACAAAACAGAAGACAAATCTGGCAACACCGCATGAGAGGGAAGGAGGAAGATTAATTTATAGGTAAACAGAACAGATTCTTAAATTAGGTAAAAAGTTACCAGTTTCTGCTCTAGCAAGAAACTTGTGCAAGCAACTAGGTTTTTTTGTTCAAGACCAATCTTTCCGGCCTCTCCATCAAAAACATATCTTTGCATTGACACTGCTGATCCAACCAAAAATGTTTTTTCACTAGAATCATCTAGGATACTGAACAACTCTTGGGAAGATATAGGAAAATTAGAAGGCCTGGATTGAACAATATTCTGCAAAAAATATAGATAGACTGTGTTAATGAACCAAAGGAATGTAGCAGCAGATAATTGATAAGCAAGACCACACAATGTTTCTTACCAAAAGGGCAGAGCCAGCCCTCAGGTAATATTGTGGAAGAGAAGAAAATCCTTGTTTTCTAAGAGTTGTCAAAGCTTCTAAAATTGAAGTCCCTGAAATTTCCTGGAATGAATTTTCAATGGAAAAGAAACAAAAAAAAAACAATGATACTATCATTAATTGAGGGAAAAGTGAAAAAAAAATGCTAAAAAGAAGACAGCATAATGAGATTAGTGTGTCATTGTAGTTGTAGCTCTGTCTGGCATACAAAACAAAGTGTTGTCTGCAATCAACTATCAATTTAAAAAAGACTTAATTAATGATATTTACAGAAAGAATAGAGAAGAGGCTTAAAATATTATATTAAGGTCACCTACAACCTTCAACATATGCAGTGAAGTTTCCTCAATATGGCAATCAAAAGAACTTTTACCAGTCAAAGAAAATACAGCACACGAACAAAAGAATAAATAGAACAGCAAATTTACGAAATGATATCATGTCTTGAAAATCTTATAACATGGCACACCAAAAAGAGTTTTTCTTAATTGAAGGAAGGATGTGAAATGGATGGAGAGACTCATGTCACTCAACTGCCCCCACTTTCATTTCTACCAATCATAGCCGAACATATTTGGCATACACCAGTATGCAAGGAGACAAATTCCATTAAAATACCATCATATAGAAATAAATAAGTCATACGTAAGGAGCGAAAAGATATTACCTCCAGCATCACATTCTTGAATGACACAACTTCCTTTGCCTCTTCTACGGAGAGCTATATCGATTATTGAATATCAGCATGCATTAAAACAAGATGTATTCTACATAGAGCTGAAATTCACAATGATGAAAGGTTACCTTATCCCAATATGCCCCTAAAAGTTCCCTATTCTTTTTAGAATCCTATAATGTGTAAGAAGCATTAGTGAAGAGTGAAGAATATTTGGAAAAGAAAAAACAAACAGAAAATACTCTCAAGGAGCAAAAGCATGAACTGCAAGCATCAATGTAATAGATAATAGCTCCTACTTATTACAAATACAAAGGTAACCTTATCAAGCTTTTTCAATCGGTGTTGAACGCGTATATGTCTTCTATAGTTAATGGGAGAGCAAAATTCTCGAGAACACTTGTTACACTTTTGTAACTGAACCTTCGCAGGAGAGAGCAAAGGCCACCCTGGAAGTTCTGTAAAATGAATGAAAGATTTTATTATAATGTCTAGATTTAGAATCAACAGCACCAAAAACAAGCTCAAAATCTATGTATGGTACTATTACCTACCATTATCATGGTTACATGTTTTTATTTTTCCTCTTTTTATTGATCTTTATGTTACTGTGTATATCACATGACTACTAACATATAACACAGGCTGCATATAAATGCCTTTAAAATGAATCCTTAATCCTCTAAATAAATGCAAATACCTTGCTGATCTAAAGCATGAAGTAATTGAATCCACTGCACCGGGCTGTCACCAGCCCTAGGAAAGGAAAGCAAAGGTTCTTTTCCAATTGCTTGCCTGAATATTGTATCTAAAGAATCATTTCCGTCATCTGTTTTTGTGAAACCGGTTGTGCCAGAGGCCGGGAGTTTTGCAACTGGCATCTATTCAGACAAAAATCTTACCAAGAAATTTTTGAAAGATTGCACTGCAGAAAGTATAAAATTATACATGTAACCATGAGAATAGAATAAATTACTCATATTCAACAAATTAATTTTCGAAGGAGCTAATAAAAATTGTCATGACATAACATATTGTTAGACCAATGCCAAACTAATAAAAAAATATCACTATAGTATAAAATAGAACAAATAACCACACATTAAATCGTATAGAAATATAAAAACACGTTGAAACTCAACAAGAGATCGATGTAGAATCTACACTGCAACCTTGTTCGGTGACTCCATCATCGTAGAGTTTATTTTCTTACATTCTCTATTGATATTCACTCAACAACCATTGCATTAACAGTTAAATTATGATTCACCAAGCCTAACACAATAATACATCACAGCAATTACGATCTATCATAAACATAAGCGACTCCTATATTCAACCTTCATTTTCATCCTCAACTATGGAGACACTGAAAGACGAATTTACTTTTCAATAAAACTTTGATATAATGAATTCAAAGAACGTGATCTCAGATCGCAAGTGAGAAAATTAAGTGGAGTGACAGCAGATCATGTACCAGGAAGAAGAAATCGTTTGGAGGCCAAACGGATTCTCTTGTGACGATCCGCAGAGGAACCGAAACGGCTGAGAAGGGATTGAGAGTGTTTGGATGGAAAGAAAATCGTCAGAGAAAACGCGAGAAAATAGCTAATGAGGGAGAACTCTCTGTGACGTTCCGCAGGCTGCAGTTGTAGTAGGGCGAAGGAAAAACGTTTTTAACAAGAAACAACTTCAAAAACATAAAAAAGGAAATTAATAGAAACAAATAATAAAAAGTATTTATTAATTACTTTTTCACTCTCTTCTTTTCACCACGAAGATATCGACGTGTTCCCGTAGCGCGTGAAAATACGTGATGTTGAATTGTGGTTCGATTTTGCACACACAGCACAACCAACCACTTACATTCCGAGGAAGGAGTGAGTAGCCGCACGTGCCTGCTTGCGTGACTGCACGTGGTTTACAGGTAAAGGTAGATGTCGTTTTAGTCATTTTAAGATGAACAACTTACATAGGGTTTGGGCTTGACCTTGTCCATTTCAAAAAACAAATTCTATTTAGGCGTTGTGTCCTTCTACTTGAATGTTGACTTAATTTAGTAATCAAAATGATATGTAGAGGATAAACTAACATGATATTGGTAATTAATATTATTTTTTCAGTATTATTTTACTTATTTGAATACAAATTATAATTATACACACTTATTAATAATTAATGATAAATTTGTATAACATTGACAACAATATTAAATTTTCATAGTTTTCTATTTTTAAAATCCATAACAACACATGTAGTTTGATTTGATTCCACATGGAAAATAATGTATGAATCAAATTAAATAATTTCTTTATTATTTGATTTCAATAGAATTTTGTGAATTTTAATTTTCTAATTCTAAATTTATATTTCATTAAAAACTGATTTGCTTTTCATCTTTTAAGTTAAATTATAATGAAAAAAAATGTCATACAATACGTTAAATAACATTCTTGGTATTTGGATTTTGATATTGAACATAGAAGAACAGTATTGAATAAAGAAAAAAATAAAAAATATATATGACACAGAAGTTAGAAACTTATATAAACTTATACAAATAACCAATAGAAAATAAATAATTATTAAGAACAACTAACCTGAAATTAAAAATAAATAAATTCATATTCAATAATAAATATCAATATTTAATTTATTGTCATAACTATTTTATATTTAAAAAATTAATATAATATTTAAAAATATATTCTACACCTAAAAAAAATGTTTACTCGTTATGAGACCAAATTGTAATCAAATTTTATTTAGGCATATCAAATCTTAAGGAGATCCATATCTTGGTAAATTGAGAATATCTCCTATAAAAAAAACTTAAATAAAACATTTTTTTATTCTTCACCAAAATTCTAAAGGGAAAATCTAACTGAACATATCAGTTGAGAAAAATAAATCCCAAAAAAAATCATTTTTTATTGATTAAGTATTTTTAATCAAACTTTTGTTATCCATTTGGATATCTTCAACATCCCTAATAAACAATCTTATATTTTTTATATAAAATGTAAAAATGTTAAGAATATTGTCTTGAGATTAAATTTAAAAATAGAGATTTTATAGATGTATTTTTTAAATGACTAATTTTCTTTAATTTTCACTTTCTTCTATACATACTTATAAAGATTTTGATACTTAAATTTAAGATTTTAATATTAAATTCTTTCATATTTGTTTAAAAAATTGGAAAATAAATTTTTTCCATATTAGATGATAAAATCGTAATTATTCCCTTCAAACAAAGTCATAAATCAATACATAATCCTAATACATTTGAATAAAGATTTTGATACTTAAATTTCAAGATTTTAATATTAATTTTTTTATATTTGTTTAAATAATGAATGATCTCGTTAAACCAAAAAATCATAAATCAATACATAGCATTAGTTTATTATATATATATATAAAGATTTTAATTTTTAAATTTAAAGATTTTAATATTAAATTATTTTATATTTTTTAAAATAATTAAAAAATGGAACTTATCCGTATTTTAATAAATAAGGATTAAACCAAATTCATAAATCAATATACAACACTAGTTTTGTCATGTATATGAATTTCCTTAAAAAGTAGCAAAATAATAAAAGTATCCTCAAATTATGTAAAGCCTGTATTGAAGGCTAAGAAGGTAATAAAAGGGTATTTTCCACCTCCTTAAATACACTCAAAATAATATTTTCTTATTAGTGAAATTTATTAAATAGGATATATCGACCTTTCAGTTAATAAATAAATATATTAAAAAGTGAATGTAAAAAATTATACAGTAAATCCTCTTCTTAAAATTTGCTTTCATTTTAAAGTAATTAGTTAATTGGGCACTAATCAAAAGTGATTTTCAGTGAAATTGATTTTAATTAACATTAACTTTGTATTGGTTGATTTATATTTCAAAATAATTGTCCAAAAGCAAACTTTGAAGTTTTTTATCCAATGTAAAAAATACCTTAAGTTACTTAACATAGAATCAAATTCGAAACTAAAATCAATTCCTCAATCTAAATCAAAACATTTAAACATTAACCTAAAAATAAAATGAATTATAACATTATTATTTTCACATGAGCTTAGTTATTCAACATGAATCCAAACATGTACTTCATCTTAATCACAAATCACTTATACCACAATCAATTAAAGTTAGGTACCAGACATGTATGTTTGAAACAAGAAAACCTGATCTGGAAAAGAATGACATTTATCACCTCTAAAATAAGAAGACATATTTTAAATAATAAAGCACAATAAAAAATATTTATTAAAAAAATTAACCATTAAATATCATGGTAAAATCAAATATATATATATATATATATATATATATATATATATATATATATATATATATATATATATATCACAACTAAAAATTAAAGTTTTTTTACAATAATCTCTACTCTGCATTTCCTTCAATTTAAAGGAACCAAATTCAAATATATGATAATTTTTTCCAGAAATATTAGAAATAAATCTTGAAAATTTTAGTAAATTAAAATTTTAAATACAACTGTTATATTTTATTAAATACTTGGATTTGGGCAAAGGAAATGAATTTCAATTAAAATGATCTCATTTCCTTCAGTGATCAGGGCAAATGAATAGAAGGAGCTGAAATCAAATAATAAGTTTTATTCGACTAGTTGACATATTAATCCTTCAATTTTGGAGAACTATAAATTTTAAATGTTAATAAAAATAAATAAGGTTTTCTTATTTACATGATCATCCCTCGTTTTAGAAAACACTCAATCAAGGGAAAGGTTTAATTAAAAAATTCCCTTGTCCTCTATTTTCTTCCCTTTTCCATCCCAACTTGCTATCAATATATTAGAACATGAATCTTTATAAAGTGAAGTTTCTAAAATGAGTAAGTAAGAGTGTATTTTGATCTTAAAATGTCATGATTGTAACCTGTTAAAATTCAAGTGTAAATACACCCTTACTTGCTCACTTTAAATTTCAATTTTTACATGATATGTGTGACTTACACCGGTGTAATATGTGCAAGTATAACGGAAAGTGAAGGTTTACTGTTGTTGCTGCCACTCCAGAATTGCATTATGTAGGGCATAGTTAGGTACCAAATCCAAGTGATCAAGCTTGAGGTTTGTCATGGGAGAAGTGTCGTGGCCACTATTTAACCACCCTCTGATTGCCTCTGCTTCATACGTAAAGCCATCTGCAGCTATGTATGGATCTTCCATTACTTCCTGGAAAACCAAAAAATAACGTTATGATTATCACAAACAGGAAAGCAATCCCATAACCCCAATGTTTTGATTTGTGAATGCAATAATTAGCATATGCTATAACAACTGCCAATTAGTAAGACGAGGTGGCCGAGAAAAGAATAACCAGACCCCTTAATTGCTTATAAAAATATGACTAGTTTTAAGGCTGCAGAATCAAAACAGAGACAGAATTTTGATAGAATTCAACTAGATTTGACTGTAGTTATTGGATAAGATGAAGTTGTAAGGGTAACTAATCCATTCTAAAGTTAAAAAGCAAGCTAATTTATTAGTAAAACGTTTACAGACAAAAAATGGTTATCTGGCATTTCCAATACAATGAAGATCAGTTCTTTCTTATAAAAATGCATTTGGAAAAAACTATGATCTTCACCTGGACAATGGGACAGACAAAATGGGAAGGAACACGATGAAGCTTCTTAGAAATAAAATATGGGGATGTGTCAATGCAAGTAGCTTTGAATGGTTCAAGAACACTCCAGATTTCTGACACAAGGTCTGGCCTGTTCAACCAACTCTTGTCACAACACCTCAATGCTAAATATGCCAGCTGTTCAGTTTGATAAAGTGGCCATTCACCAGCTGAAAAGTCCAAGACTGCTTTAAGGTTTTCCTTTTCCAATGCACACTTCATATCCCTAACTAACCCCACAAGTGGTCTTCCAGTTAGAAGTTGTAACAATATGACTCCAAATGAATATACATCTGATTCTGGTGTAAACTTGCCAGTGACAAAATACTCTGGATCCACATATGCCAAACGTTCATTTGGGTTATTACATATTGTGCTTGCATCAGCTGAATCAAAACTTTGCCGGACTAAACTAGGGATGCCCAAGTCACTCAGTTTGGCAACATAGTTAGCATCAAGGAGGACCTTACTAGGTTTCAAATTCCCATGGATAGTACAAGGCTCGCTGGAATGAAGGAAGATTAGAGCGGAGCATATGTTTGTAGCAATGGATATTCGAATTTGCCATGGAAGTGGATTTTTTTCTTTGCGGGCAAGGTGATTTTCAAGGCTGCCATTGTTTAGGTACTCATACACAAGTGACCTAGAGTCTGCACAGCTTCCAATTAGTGTTAACAGGTTTGGATGTCTTACCCTACTCAAGACCTCTACCTGAAATTCAACCAATATTATAGCCAGACAAAACAATAAAATGTTGTGAGTTCCTCATGGATACAGAACCTATGACAGAATCTATCAGTCAAGATTTTTTGGAACAATCACTCAATATAATTTAATTTCATATACTTGAAGATGTGAGCTTGGAATTTAGAGCGTGTGCATACATATATATTAATCTCATACCAGGGACCAATTGGACGAAACTATAAAGTGAAAATAAAATAGAACTCCGGAGACTTACAACAGATGTAGGAAAAAAGAGAAGAAAAAGGGTCACAAATGCACCACTTCAATAATTCCGTTCTCTTTATGAAGTGCTCAAAAACACATCAAATAATCCAAAAATCTTTAAACATTGAATCAGGTATAATAATTTATGAAGTGCTCTTGTTGTTTTGTAACATAATATATGGTGCAATTCTTTGGAAATGGTAAATATGACAATAATTAATGAAGTAAAAACTAAAATTAGGAATGAAAATCAAACTCACTACCGACCGCTCCAAAATTGACTGAGGTTGACCAAATAATTTTGGAGGTTGACCAAATATAGAATTGGTTTTTCTCACTTTGAAAAATCAAGGGTAGGAGCAAGACCGAAAACGGGTAATACAATCCCCACATAACTTTATATTTAAACATAAATCCTAAAATATTAATACTCTTTCAAATGTCTCCTTTTGAATTACACACTCTTCACTTTTCTCTCACTCACTCTTTACTCATTTGATTTTCTTAATAATCTCTTCAGCTAGTTCAACATACTCTTCTTTGATTGAGCTATCAAAACGGACCTCAGCCCAACCTAGCTCTACAGGCCAAATAAAAAATTTTGATAGTCTAACCTATATTTTAAACCAGACCAAAATCTTTAGCCTAGTCTGGTCTGTATTAGGTCAACGGGTTAATGAGTCAATTTTGACTTAATTGAAATTTTTTAAAAAATATTAACATATTTATACCAAATTAATTAATTAAAAATATTTAAATAAAAATAAAAATATATTTTTAAAGTTTAAATTATATTAATGAAAATAATTTTAATTTAAAATATAATTATTTAATATATAAATTATAAGAAAATTATCCATTCAATCTTAAAATAGGAATTAAAAATTTACTCTTCATAATTATTATTATTTTATTTTTTAGTAATTTATTAATCTAAAATAGTAATTAATCTTAACAATTAAATATTGGAGAGACTTATTTTGATATTTAATATTAGAATAAGTGAATCCCATATCAAATTAATTTATAATACATATATATTTTATATTATTTTTTTATTTAAAAAATAATTATTATGCTATAAAACAGGCTGATCCATAAGTCTACATACTAGCTTAGCCTAAGCCCATGTAAGTCATGACCACAATTTTTTTTACCTAGTCTAATCTATTTCTCGAACCGATCCATCGGTTAACCCTATTTTAACATTCTTGTTATGTTACTATCACCTTTCACTTCTTCACATTTTTTTAATCTTTTCAACTAGTTTGCTTCTTCAAATGTCTCTTTTTATATCACCTTTTGTTTCTTCACATTTTCTCTCACTCACTCTTCACTCTTTTGATTTTCTTAATCTCTTTATCTAAATATTGCATCGATCTTATAAACGCGTAATATCATTTTATTTCTAATTTGTCTTTATTAGGTTTTGTTATGTCATATTTTTTAGATTTAACTATTCTTATTTATCAAACATAAAATTTTATGTTAATTAAATAATGGTATTTTGAAGGATTAATAATTTTGAATGATTAATAGTTTAATTTTTTATTATTTTGTATTAATTCAATAAGAATTATCTGATTAAATATTTTCTTTTAAACTATATATTTTATATATAATAAATTAAAACATATATTCAATCAATAATAATAATTTAAAAGTTGTAAAATTTCAAATATTTATATATGTATAAAAACAATACATAATAAATAATGTTAAAATTAATTTATTATAATTTATGTATAATTATTCTTTTTAGAAATAACAATGAAAAAGGTTGTAGGCGAAGAAATCCGAAACCTAACAAAGATATGGACAAAGATGATTATGAAAGTTAGGGATGGAGGTGGGGAGGCAAAACCCAACCCATCCCGCCACATAGCGATACCTAACTAGAACTCTTCGTAATCCTTTCAACTAGAGGGAGGGGGGTAATGAGCATTTGTGTATTCAAATTTTAGACTAACAAGCAGATTATAATAGAGAGTATAAGAGTACCTGATGTTGGAACTCTGATAGACTTTGACAACCATAAGAGGGTAACATTTTTATAGCAACATGCATGTTGCGAAGCAATCCCTTGTAAACACTTCCATACCTTCCCTCACCAATCTTCCAAGATGGATCAAAATCATGAGTTGCCTCGTTGATCTCCACGAAAGAAAATGAAGGGAATTCTACCTGATAAGAGAAGGAAGTATCTGCTTCATCAAATTTTCTAAGCACTTGGACTTCCCTAACTGCATTTGCATGCTCTATTCTAATCCTGTCTCTCTTTTCCCTGAAACTTATCAAGAGGTCCACAGCTGATATGATCTTCTCCTCAAACTCTGATTCCGTACACTGGGACTCAGAAATTTGGTTCATGAGTACTGAATTTTGGTCTTTGATCATTTGCAATTCTTCAAGTATTTCATCTTGCTCATTCTTGATTTTCTGTACTTCTTGATTCGTCCTTGCCAATTGTTCTTCAACTTCTTTTCTTCCTTTTATTTCCTTAGAACACTGGCTTTCAAACGCTTCATCCTGTCAATAATGAAAGTTGAAACTACTTTTAGAAGAAAAATGGAAATCACTTTAGTTCATCAATAATCAGACAGAAATTCATGCAAACATTATACATATCTATCAATATGAACAAGTATATCAATTTGCTACATTAAGCTGACTATTCTATTACTTGGCTTTCATGTTAACCCAAAGTGTCATATACATAAAGTTATGGTGACAAGGGATGCAAGTGATGAAGGCATTGTGCTTGACAGTCTAATTAAAGAATAAATAGTCCCAACTCTCTTCTATATTTAAGCAAAGAAAAATTGTGTTTGCCATCAACCTTGATAGTACTATTTTCTATTTTATATTATCCATCTCTTTATTTTGCTTGCTTGTTCCCTTTCTTCTATTTTCACCAGCAAAAAAACAATCAAGAATTCTAAATTTACGAATTAGTTTAAAACAGAGGGAAGATGTCAGACTATGGATTGAAATGAATATATTTTTAGACTAAGAAACAGTATTAATATTCCAAAATCCATCTGATACACTCTCTGATCTTATTCAGAAGAAATCATAACTTTCAAGTGCTAACTCATGAACAGAAATTCTCCTACAGTCCTACCATTAAAGAGTAGTAGCACACCAAAAATGTGTAAAGTATAAAAACAGAAACTTCTACACCAAGGTTAAAAGAGAACAATCACCTCTCACCTCATGAAACATCAAATCTGCCAACTTTGACCTGTCCATGACATTATTAAAGGACCATTTTGAATTTAAGGAACGGTGGGAACTGATACTTTGGATTTCTTTCATATCATCCGAATCTGCAGAAACCTGTCACAAGTTATTCCCCTGACAGTCCTTATAGAAAATGATAAATGGCCTGATCTGACAAATACCTATGCTATTTTAAAGTTGACAACAAACAAAGAAAAGAAACATCCAGCAAGAATACCTAAATATTTCAATGCATCAGGAATCGATTCTGATTTAGTCTTTTCTGATTGTTTGGCTTCTGTATTTGAATTGACCGCCAACAATGCAGGTCTAGTCTCTATGTCAGAAGTATGCTTACTATATAACCTGATTTAATTTGCGCATTTCAGAAGAGGAAGAGACAGCACACATTATCAGCTGAATGAGTTGTTGCCAATATTACATAGTATGATAAAAGAATCTAAAAGTGAAAGATCAAAACTTGTTAATATTTAAATGAACACGACATGATTAGTGGGAGTATTAAGGCCCCTTCTGTTCTTTTCCAGAATTATTGAGTTTGCCTTTCTACTCATCTACACTGAATATGATATACAATTTTTTTGTAAATTATTAACAAAATAAATTAATGTTTTCTCATTTAACTATTTCTTTCCATGAAAGGATTACGTGTCACTCTCTAACCTCCTACCACAAGGGTAATTATTTATTTTATACATAACAACAAAGCAGTATCCCACTCCACCAGGTTAGCTACTCTTTCTTATTTTCAAGTCATAAAACCATTCATCAATAAAGAATTGCAATCAAACCAAATTGAATGAATATGCTGTTTCTTTGCAGCCCATCCATCCATATCATAACCTGCTCCAAAGATATTGACAAGGACACTCGTGCAGTACACCAAATATCTAAGTAAGACATTAGAATCATGTCATTGCAGTATAAATATCATTTTCATTTACATTTTTACCTAGTACATATGAGGTTGCCCTTGCAAATGAACCAAATATTACAGGATAGCAATGCTTGTTCACGTACAAAATTAGCTTTGTCCAAATCTTGCTTAGCCAGTTTGCTGCAATTCCGACCAGTACAGTTTAGTAATGATATAAAAGATGCAAATTAACAAAGCTCTGAAAGAAAACTCATGAAGTAATTTTCATTTAGCCAGACAAGAATAAGCCTTTTATTTGGATATCCTACTCTGCTTCACTCTTTTACGTAGAATGCTTAAGGGAGAATTTTTGGAAAAAAAAAAAAAAAAAACATCGTCAATGAAGCATATCTGTTCAATATCAAAGCATATCTGAAATGAAAAAAAAAAAAAACCAGCTATATACAGAATGGTTGAACATTAGAAGGAACTCATAAACACAATGCCAATAGATACTCTTGGGCACTTCACTTTCACTGACTCATATCAATGAAGTATCCAAGCCATTGAAAAGAGTTATGGAAATCTAACATAGCAGCATGTGTAACTTAAAATCATAGAAGCATTGTTAAAGGTTAATTGGAATTATCCTCTAACACTACTCACTCTCTCAATCTCACACGAGAATAGAAGAGGACACACAATAGTAAAATTGTATATTCATGATAATACCTTTCGGATTACATTAGGTCTTATTAATAACTCTTATTTCTTAACTAACTCTTATATTCTAATAACTAATTTATTATTTCTCTTTGATTAATAACCACCTATAACAAGCATCGTCTCTTGATGAACCAAAAAAATGGAAATTGTCCTCTTTATGGATGATCTCAAAAGGGAATAATATTATACTATCTATTTATTGACAATAGAAAGTGATTTATGATACCAATGATTTATAATTTTTATTTTGTTTATAACAATGAGCAAGAAGTATTTTCTTAATTTGAATTTTCAAAATTGCAATCGTATATTTCTTGACTTTTATGAGCTTTTATACATATCTAGATATGTATCTCTCATGTCCTGTATATATTTAGATTAATAATATCATCATGTCAGATGTGTATTGTATTTGTGCATCATATAGAAGCTACTGAGGTATGGAATTGATACCCCATGTTATATTCATCTGCTGCTGCTCCCACTACAAGCCATCTAATATTGTGTTGAGCAATAGCTTTTGCGATCCCTTTCTCAATATCATCCATCTCAATCAACAATTTACAGGCCCGTACCTGTGCACACATATGTTATTGTGTAAACAAAATCTGGATTTGTTTCAAGAGATAGCTATAAACATAACAAGCATCTTCCATTACTATTACTTTGAACTGTTTAAATATAATTAAAATCCAAAGTTCATAGCATGCTTTGGAGAAGTTAGTGACTACTTTATTGTGATATTTAGTTTTCCTTAAAGTAAAGGAAAAAGTTCAATTTACCCCTTCAACTTTGGGTGATGTATATTTTGATTCTCGATATTTCAAAACATGCAACATAATCCCTACAGATTAAGAGAAATTGTTATATATTTTAAGGACCAAAGAGCAGTTGAACGAAGGTAGAGAAGGTGAGTTAACTTTCCAATTAAAAAAATTGGTAAAAGAATGTGAGCGTGACAGTTTCTGTTGATGTTTGATGGAATATTATGGTGTGACTAAACGTGCACTTTAAAATGTTACCACATTGCTCATTTTTTAAGTTTACAGAGGACAAAATGCACATATGAAATTAATTTTCTTTTTTACTAAATTAAATACAATTAGGCTACATATTTAGTGTAAAAAGTTTATCGACAGAAACACAGAAATAAGAAAAAGATAATACTCCTGCCGGGACCAGAGTGAGAATGTATTGGTCTAGAAGTTCGTCCACCATTTGATTTCCTTGCTCCTGAAATGCCTGGATTGGAAGGTCTTTTGGTTCATACACAGAAAGATTTCTGTCTGCTGCATGTAATTAAAAACAAAAAATTTTCGTAGTTAGTTAACTATTACCAAACTATCAGATAAGACCTACCCTACCCAGTATGAATACAGCCAGAACAGGATTTTAGAGAATTTATATACCAGAAATAAGAACCAGTACAAAATAGAGCACATCAATTTCTCTCTTTTTTCTCACTGTTTAGTTTTTAAGCTAGAGTGTTATGCTCTCTAAATTTAACGTCACAGCTGATTTAATGACAAAAAACAAGTCTCTAAGATTCAACGTGTCCTCAATCTTAAGCAATAACTGAAGATGTTTTGATCAACCCTTTTTTAGATAATAAGCAAAACAGAAGATTGGCTATAATCCTCAAGTTTTATCAGCATAATATTAAAAGCTCGTGAACACCTCACCAAATCATGAGTGTGTGTGAGGGACACAAAAATGTAAAATTTTAGATAAGAAAGACGGTTTGAAAATGATAATAATTTACATATTTGTGTCTCTTAGTAAAATGTAATTTTATTTGTAGAATTATAATTAATTGCATTTACACAGATTCTTTTACTATTTACTTCATTGTCTAGAATTGAAATGCCTACAATGTAATAAACATAAAAATTCTTTAACACGAAGTCCAGTAAAAGGAAAAAAAAAAGTTATAAACGAGTTAACAACGGATCTTCATATTTTTAAACAAACCAAGCCTAAACCTTAAATTTAGCTAATTTGAACCAATGAAGCAAGCTTAAGGTTCATCCTTTTATTCGCAAGTCAAACCGCTTCAATTCTTTAGCTAACTCACTTCAATAGCTCAAAAGATTCAATTACGCTCTTACCCTTGTTCTTTGAAACCTTGATACACTTGTCACAAATCAAACATCACCCCGGTCACTAAATTACTTAAACAGTTTCACCATTTGTAGCTTCATTATTCTTTTCATAGATTACTAGCGGTAAATGCAAAACGACATAATCCAAAATTTGTCTTTTCAACATCACCCTCAAATACAAGAGCTCAATTCAGCATTATCAGTCTTCCTTCCGTCCTCAACAAGGTCCTCGACCTCGAGCTTTTTATCAAGTGATAAAAAAGAAAGTGAGGAACCCATAGAATACACACATAATATCCAACCCAAAAAGTAAATTCCAAATTTGCAACCATTCAAACCCAACAACGAAATAGCCAATAATATTTCCTATTTAAAAGGCATAATCGGGGAGAAACTCACATAACGAATTGAGGGCGTGAGGTTGGTGAATATGAAGAAGGCAAACATTCTTGCCAGATAAATTATTAACCGCCCAATGCAGCAGTTGTTGCGTCTTCTCCGCGTTCCTTCCCACCGCCACATACACTGTGTCAGTATCCGCGTCTTCCACCACGACGCTACCCATCGGATCCAAACCAACCGATTTCGGCGAATCGATGCAAGAACGGCGCTCTACGGTTCCGAGTTGCGAAGACTCAGCGAGTCAGGAGGAAGAAGAAGAAGGTAGCGAAAATAGAAGAGACGGAGAAGGAAGAGTCAACAACAGGAATTGGGAAGAACTTAGTAAGGAGTGTGGAAGTTGAAGTGAAGAAGAAGTAATTGATTTTTATGGAATTAGCGCTGGAAAAGTTGTTTTCTTCTGTTGGTGGGTCCCGAGGGGTAAGCGTTGGTGAACAGTAGAGTGAAGGAGTACCACATCGGATATGAAGATTATCTTACGAGAAAGTTCAGATATTGTCCGGAACAACTTTTTCATTATATTTTTGCAGATAAATAATAACTTACTTTTTCATAATTTAAAATTATAAAAAAATGATTTTATTTTTTTCTTTTATAAATATTTGGAATAAATTTGTCTGATTATCTGTCATCAAATATAATATATAATATAAGGTAAATATACATTAAATTTAGTGGAAAATATCGTATTTACTATTAACAATCAAATTAAAAGTAAATATAGTATATGGATAATATAATAATATTTAATATAACATTTGTTACAAATTAATATTATAAGCATAATATTACATTTCTAATTAAATGGCAACACATATTGATTAATTCCATATTGCTTAATAGTTGTTGTTATTAGAACCAATATAACATAAGTATAGCAACTTCATATAGTATACATATAGCAAACATTATACGGAGAAATTAATAAAAAAAACTTTTAAGAACATAAATCCTAAACCAATAATTATGTAACAATTTTCTATGACACTTGTAATAAAAGAAGCAATGAAAAGACAGATTGTCATTTAAAGTAACTGTTGTATAGTATAAATTAAGAAGAGACTCAAACCAGGGTTCCATAGAAGAATGCATGTCTTTTTGATCTTGTAACAAATTACACAATAATAAGTGATAATTATTCTGGAAAATTAGATTAACTGAAATATGATTTTTATTATATCAATATAAAGAGATGATATAAAATATATGTTGGAGACCTAAGCTATTTTAAGAAATATAATAATTATATTTTATGCTAGGATCTCTTGATATATGAGATTATTTTTAATTATTCAAATCGTATCAGATTATAAGGAAATATACAAATTTTCTCATATATTCTTTCTTAAAATATTATTTGATTTCTCACACTCTCCCTTAAGCTGGTGAATAGATGTTTTTCATTCCCAGCTTGGATACAATCTTCTCAAAATTATGGCAGTCCAATCCCTTGGTAAGAATGTCTGCAATTTGGTCTTTAGAGAACACATATGGAGTGCATATCAAGCCACTATCAAGCTTTTCTTTGATGAAGTGTCTGTCTACTTCAATATGCTTTGTTCTATCATGCTGCACTGGGTTGTAGGCTATACTGATTGCTGACTTATTATCACAATAGAGCTTCATAGGTTCTTCCCAATTTATCCTCAAGTCTTCTAAGATGATTTTAAGTCATAGCAACTCACATATACCTTGTGTCATGGCTCGGAATTCTGCTTCAGCACTGGACCGAGCCACTACACCCTGCTTTTTGCTTCTCCAAGTCACAAGATTTCCTCCAAGAAAGGTGCAATATCTTGTAGTTGACCTCCTATTCACAATTGACCCTGCATAATTAGCATCAATATAAACTTCAAGCTTCACATTACCATTCCTTTTGAATAGAATCCCTCTTCCTGGAGTTCCTTTAAGGTAAGGTTCCAACATAAAACCAATTAGTTTCTTTCCTATTAGTAAGGTGACTAACTCCCAGGTGTTGTTCTTCTCCAATGCCTCCATCTCTACATCCATGGCTTGCCTCCATTTTCTCTTTTTGTGGAGTCGAGTTGAATTCTTGAACATGGCTTGATCCTGGAATGGCCTTAGTCTTCCTTGAGTACACCAGCTTCTTACCAAATTTGTCAGCTTCAACATCTCCTTGATCAGCTTCACAATTAATTTCACTGTCTTGACCAGCTTCCTTTTCTTGACCAATTCTTTGACCTGTTTCACTTGTTACAGCTTCAATTTGATCTTGTTTAGGTTCAAATATCAAGTTTGGAAGAATGGGAAAATCAGAATTACTACTTTCCTTATCTTCCTTGAAACTCTCTCCCTGAAGATAAGGTTGATGGAAATAGTCCTCTTGTCCATTGAAGGTAACATCCCTAGACACAAAGAATTTTTTGGATGGGGGGTGGTAGCATTTATACCACAGACTTGGATCTTCGAGATAATAAAGGTCATTTCATTCTCTAGCATGTCCAATCATCCTTCCCGACTCCTTGTCTTGAAATACACAATGATCGTTGAAAAAAACAACTTTACATGACAAATCCTTTATAATTTTTTGTATAGAGACTAGGTTAGTGGATAACTTTGGGACATGGAGAACATCTTTTAAGGTTATTAAAGGATTGATTTGGATATTTCCTTGACCAGCTGCAGTTATAAGGGTTCCATCTGCTATGGCAATTTTCTTGTTGCTGGGACATGGGGAATATGTGGAGAAGTGTTTGACTAATAGTGTCATGTGGTCTGTGGCTCCAGAGTCCAATATCCAATAATGGTTAAAAGGTGTATCTGAGACATTTAATCCAAAAGAGAATGGAAACTTACCTGGGTATGCCAAAGAACACACACCTGTGGGTTTTTCCAGCTTACTAAGAAATATTTTCACCCTTTTTATCTTCTCTTGATTAAGATGGGCAGCAACTTTTGGATTATTTCCTTCATTTGTTTCAGCAGCAACATAAACTTGTCCTCCTTGAGGAGCCTCCTTTGTGTCCCCCTTCTCGATCTCGGTTTAAAGGCTTCCCATGTAACTTCCAACACTTCTCTCAGGTATGATGAGGTTTATTGCAGTAGGTACACCAGAGACCATCACCTTTCTTCTCCACATTTGCTGATCCTCCTTTCTTCTGTTCGATTACCATGGCCAAAGTCTGATCTCCTTTATGGTCCAGTGCTAAGTTCTCTACTGCTGGACTCTCTAACATGAAACCCCTTCTACTTTCTTCACTTCTCACAATAGCCACCATTCATTGAGGCATGGTACCTTTTGCTTCCCCAATATTTGAATCCTAACTTGATCAAATTCAGGATTCAAAACAACAAGGAAATCATAAACTCTGTCTTGTTCGATATACTCCTTGAGAAGTGTTGAATCTTCAGTACATTTGGCTTTTATGACTCTATAATGGTCTAGTTCCATCCACAATGATTTCAGCTGATTGACACATTCTGTAACAGTCTTGTTCCCATGTTTTGCTGCCAAAGTTTTCACCTTTACTTCATATACTTGAGCAACATCTTTAGCTTTAGAGTAGGTTTGCTCTATAGCATCCCAAATATCTTTTGCCGAATTAAGGAACATGCAGGTGTCGCTGATTTCTGGAATCATTGAATTCCACAGCCACGCCATGATCATTGAATCTTCTTCATCCCATGTAGTAAACTTGGGATCCTCTTGTTTAGGTCCAGACTCCATCAGGTGACTCAACTTTCCCTTTCCCTTTAACACTGTACGAACAAGTTGGGCTCACTTCAAATAATTTCTTCCATTTAATCTATATGCAAAAAGAATATTCTGTAGTTCTCTAGATTGCTGGCATTGGGTATTCCTTGTTTCTGGGTTTGGATTCACAACTTCCTCTTCCCTTGACATCATAGCAAGGAGGTGTGATGCAACAGCAATGCAAACTGTCGTCTTAGGATTAAGAAAAATGCAACAGCAATGCAGGCTATCGTCTTAGGATTAAGAAAAAATGCAGCAGCAATGTAGGTTACCGTCTTAGGGTTAAGAAATATGCAGCAACAATGTAGGTTGTCGTCTTAAGGTTAAGAAATATGCAACAGCAATATAGGCTGTCATCTTAGGGTTAAGAAATATGCAGCAGCAATGCAGGCTGCCGTCTTAGGGTTAAGAAATATGCAGTAGCAATGCAGGCTACCGTCTTAGGGTTAAGAAAAATGCAACAGCAATGCAGGTTGTCGTCTTAGGGTTAAGAAATATGCAGCAGCAATGTAGGCTGTCGTCTTAGGGTTAAGAAATATGCAGCAGCAATGCAGGCTGTCGTCTTAGGGTTTATCGTGCGCAGACAGAGCTTCCTAAATCGGAAGCTCTGATACCATCTAGAAAATTAGATTAACTGAAATATGATTTTTATTATATCAATACAAAGAGATGATATAAGATATATACAGGAGACCTAAGTTATTTTAGGAAATATAATAACTCTATTTTATACTAGGATTCCTTGATATATGAGATTGTTCCTAATTATTCAAATTTGTACAGATTACAAAGAAATATACAACTGATTTATTCTTTCCTAAAATACTATTTCCCACAACTATAATAAATAATGCCAACTTCAAATATTCCAACAACTGAGACAACTAAAACAAAACATGAGATGGGAACATTTGAACTGTTGTGTTTAGAGAGCTTTCAACAGCCAATGATGTTCTGTGTTCGGATTTTTCTTATTTTTAGATTCAACAGAATATCTTTAATATAAATTTCTTATAAAAAGAGTCATATATTTTTTTATTTTGAGAAACAGATGTAACACTGACCAAGAAATTTTTTACAGTGTAATAGTAAACCTTATACTAACTACCTAACTTGTTACTACTTAAAAACTAAATCTTTGTAAAAAAAAAAAAAACATTATTTTCAACAAAATACCTATGCTTTAGATAGACCAAAGGAAATTTTTGAAAATTTAATCATTTGTCGGTATGGATAACCAAAACATAAAATAATGGAATTTATGCATTTAAATAAATTAATATTTTTCCATTTTATGTTTTTTTTTCCAATACGCTAACCAGTAAAATCATATTTTATGACACTTTTTTATTACTGTTAGGTCGTACCTAAGACTTGTTAGATTAAATTAAATTAAAAAATAATATATTCAAATTGGTTTAATTGACTTCATTTTTTTCATTTTTTTTAAA